ACAGAGTCAACCCCTAACTTGGTTGACCCTCTGGAGGCCCCTCCACCGGGTCCACGTATTCGGAGTTCGGAACGTACTTGTACAGAACAAAAAAGGATACTTTATGTATACTTAGTAGAAATCACAAGGTCAACAGCTAACCAAAAACATTAGTTTCTGTGGACCCGGTTGGACTTTATGTAAACTTGCTAGAAATCACAAAGTCAACAACTAACCAAAAACAATAGTTTCTGTGGACCCGGTGGGAGAGCCTCCACAGAGTCAACCCCTCACTTGGTTGACCCTCTGGAGGCCCCTCCACCGGGCCCACCTATTCGGAGTTCGGAACGTAATTCTACAGAACAAAAAACGATATTTTATGTATACTTAGTAGAAATCACAAGGTCAACAGCTAACCAAAAACATTAGTTTCTGTGGACCCGGTTGGACTTTATGTAAACTTGCTAGAAATCACAAAGTCAACAACTAACCAAAAACAATAGTTTCTGTGGACCCGGTGGGAGAGCCTCCACAGAGTCAACCCCTCACTTGGTTGACCCTTTGGAGGCCCCTCCACCGGGTCCACGTATTCGGAGTTCGGAACATCATTGTACAGAACAAAAAACGATACTTTATGCAGACGTGGCGGAAGCGCCTCCACAGCGTCAACAACTAGCTCAGTCGACTCCCTGGAGGCCCGTCCAACGAGTCCGCGTGCTGACAACACGGTATACCTACAAGAATAACGATTCACCAACAACAAGCACACAAACATTCCAGCTGCTTGGGTGAGCTTTTCAAACTCCAAAAGTTTCTTCCCAACCGATTCTTGTCCAAAATGCCTACCTTATACATCTAACGTTAGAAATCGGCAAACTCTTCAACGCAATTTTCACGAAGTCATGAATCCGCTTGTTGATCTTCCCAATTGAATGTAAAGTTTAACCGGGGTGGGAGTTTAATATTCCCTAATACCCTTGTTGATCTTCCCAATTGAATGCAAAGTTTAACGGGGGTGGGAGTTTTATATTCCCTAATACCCTTGTTGATCTTCCCAATTCAATGTAAAGTTTAACGGGGGTGGGAGTTTAATATTCCCTAATACCCTTGTTGATCTTCCCAATTGAATGTAAAGTTTAACGGGCCTGGGCGTAGTAGTAGTAGTAGTAGTAGTCGTAGTCGTAGTCGTAGTGGTAGTGGTAGTGGTAGTGGTAGTGGTAGTGGTAGTGGTAGTGGTAGTGGTAGTGGTAGTGGTAGTAGTAGTAGTAGTAGTAGGCGTCGTAGTAGTAGTAGTAGTAGTAGTAGCAGTCGTAGTAGTAGAAGTAATAGTAATAGTAATAGTATAATAGTAGTAGCAGTAGTAGTAGTAGTAGCAGTAGTAGTAGTAGTCGTCGTCGTAGTAGTAGTAGCCGTAGTAGTAGTAGTAGTCGTAGGTAGTAGTAGTGTCGTCGTCGTTCGTCATTAGTAGTAGTAGGAGGAAGTAGTTTTCAGAAGTCGTCGTCGTCGTAAGTAGTAGTAGTTAGTCGTCGTTAAGTATAGTAGTAGTCCTCCTAGTCGTAGGGTAGTCGTCCTCATAGTAGTAGTAGTAGTCCTAATAATAGTAGTAGTAGTTAGTTAGTAGTAGTAGTAGTAGTAGGTGTAGTAAGTAGTAAGGATGGAAGGAGGAAGTAGTAAGTAGTGAAGTAGGAAAGGTAGTAAGTAGTAAGTAGTAAGTAGTAAGTAGTAAGTAGTAAGTAGTAAGTAGTAAGTAGTAAGTAGTAAGTAGTAAGTAGTAAGTAGTAAGTAGTAAGTAGTAAGTAGTAAGTAGTAAGTAGTAAGTAGTAAGTAGTAAGTAGTAATAGTAAGTAGTAAGTAGTAATAGTAATAGTAGTAGTAGTAGTAGTAAATAGTAATAGTAATAGTAGTAGTAGTAGTAGTAGTAAATAGTAATAGTAATAGTAGTAGCAGTAGTAGTAGTAAATAGTAATAGTAATAGTAGTAGTAGTAGTAGAAGTAGTAGTAGTAGTAGTGGTAGTGGTAGTGGTAGTGGTAGTGGTAGTGGTAGTGGTAGTGGTAGTGGTAGTGGTAGTGGTAGTGGTAGTGGTAGTGGTAGTAGTAGTAGTAGTAGTAGTGGTAGGAGTAGTAGTAGTAGTAGTAGTAGTAGTAGTAGTAGTAGTGGTAGTGGTAGTGGTAGTGGTAGTGGTAGTAGTAGTAGTAGTGGTGGTAGTAGTAGCAGTAGTAGTAGTAGTGGTAGTAGTAGTCGTCATAGTAGTAGTAGTCGTAGTAGTAGTAGTAGTCGTCGTCGTCGGCGTGCTTGCGTTACAAACAATCGCACCTTCTCTTGCCTCTCCCTCCTGTCTTTCCCCCCCCTACCTTTCGTCCCCCCCTCTCAAGTTTGACAGGAAGACTGTTGGAAATGTTGGATGGGAAACAACATGGTGAAACCGCCATAGATTTCCCCGCAAAAAAAACAGCAAAAAAAACAACAAAATCAATGATCGTTCATGCAGATGATTGGCATTCATTTCTCAGGTGCTCTGGCCATAGGTCTTAGCCTCAATATGCTGAGTACGGACAGCGTTCAAAGTGGAAGCATTTTGAAGTGAACAGTTTGTGCCGATTGGCAAGTATAGTCTTGAAGATGTCTTTTTTTAGGGCTGATACCGCTGCTGATGTTGATGTAACAGAAAATGCGCAAGATGCATGATGCATGGATTGAGGTTGGTATCTATTGCTTCAATTTATTCTCGCATATTGGTGCGGCTTGCTGACAGGCTCAGTTTGATACTGTTCAAATTGAGCGGAGTCAAAATGTGCCAATTTTGTTCAAAGTTTCCGGATTTTCACAAACTGCCTTTGGTATAGCCTCAGCCTTTGCTCCGAATGCCAGGCAAGCACACGCCAGATTTCAAATCACTGGTCCTCAATTTGTCAGTGACCTAGTCTTCAATTTGTCAGTCGGATATTCCTGAGATTTTCTGAATAGGTTTTGTCAGATCCGATGGATCCAATGGATCCGATGGAGCTGATGGAGCTGAATTCCTGAGGAAGTGTTGGGCAGTGATGCTTGGCGTAGTCACAGGCGAGTTTAGTTGTGACATGTTCATCAGTGCTCAGTGAAAGCCTGTGCAGGTAGCTCATCCATGTCCTTCTTTAGCCTTGTCCAGGACCCTGAGTCATGTTTTCTTGAGCTCACAAAACTTGACGCCAAATTTTTCCTCGAACCAGGGATTCTTGGGGCACACTGTGATCCTTTACACCTGCAGGATGTAATGTCCATTTTGTCTCAAGAGCGTGGCTCAACGGTACAAGATTCAGACTTCGTAGCAACGTAGTCAAAACCAGAGCAATACTTGGCCATGTTTCAGTACGGTGACCACGGCTAGTACGCTTGGTTTGGGACGAGTACGAGCGGCCCAGCAAGTTCGCCATCCAACCCATCCATCCTTGTCACAACGATGCCTCCATGGAAAGTGCCAGCGAATTTGAAGCTCATCTTCAGCTCAGAGGTGCAGTCACCGGCGCAAGTGGCGCCAATCGTTCAGATGCTGCAACGGCAGATGCAGCAAACGCAACTGCATCCAGAAGTCCAAGCGACTCAAGTGTTGGAGCCATCAGACACAGGAAACCGAACGCGAGGCGCGCCAGTTGAGCCCATGGTGACGGTTGTCGTGAAGAATATTCCGCTTCACTACAGCCAAGACATGTTTATGGACCAGGTCAAGAAACATGGATTTGAGGGTCTCTTCAACCTTCTTTACTTGCCATGGAACTCCAAGAGTGACACCAACAAGGCTTGGGCTTTGTGAACTTCATCCGTCCAGATGATGCTCAACGATTTCAGAAGGACATGGGGGGGAAGTACTTTGACGAAGAACACACGCAGAGCGGCTTGCCCATTCGGATTGAACGTGCAGATGTCCAGGGCCTCAAGTCCAACAGAGCCCGCTTCACCAAAAAATCCGACTTTGGTCCATGGTTGTTGCCCACAAAGCCAATGGTGCCATTGTTGGAGATTGGAAAATGGGGTGGAATTCCCAGACGCCGCAAGGAAGGCCAAGCTGAGCCCATGGTGAAAGCCTAGGTTGAGCGCAGGTCCCTATGCCGCTGCGGAAGATCCTCCATCAGCCTTTGTTGTTTGGTTAATGTCGCTGTCTGCAGCTTCCGAAGCACCAGACATAGTGTTAAAACACATCAGAGTTTGTGTGGGTTGACAGATTTGACAGGAAATGTCGTGGTATCATCACGTAACACGTAGATGCGAGCCTGACTGACCTGTCAGCCTGTCAGCTCACCGTCGTGGCGAGAGTCTGAATGCAGACTATGCAGTTCCAATGGAACACTTTTTGTCAAATCCGCCACCTGCCATTGCCGAAAAAAAAGGATAGTTCTTACTACGTAGCAAACAACCGGTTAGGAACACAAGAGGGATAGATTGATGATAGACCACACTGAGACTGGAACATGTTAAGATCAGGAAATTATGTTTCGATTGCGCAGGGTCAATCTTTAGGTTTCTCTCTCAGAGCTGCAGTGAAGGATTACGAGAAGTCGAACTGGATCATTCTCTATTCGAGCCTTTGCTGCACCACTGCTTCTATTTTTTTTGAGATCCTTTTTGGCTCATCAATGCTTTTTTTCAAGGGTTTGGATTGTCATGAACAAGCGTGGTGAACCTGTGTATCCAGCAGCTGAGGATGCCTTTAGTGTCTTGGCTGAACAAGCTCCCACATTACTCTGGAGACTGGCATGATACTGGCATGAAGTCGTGGTTTTGAGGCGTTTAGCATGGTTTACTCAGTTTTCTCATCACAATTCTGACCCTCCGAGTGTAGTGCAGGATACAGTGACTACTTGTGCCATCTTGTGTCCATGGCCACAAAGCGTCCATACTGAGATTACGTTCCTGGTCCTGTCGGTGATTTACGCCATTGGCGACAGTCACCCGGCTGCAGAACAAGCAGAGCTTGGAAAAGGTGAATCGCGGCCATATGGCGGTTCTGAGTCGAAACCCTGTTGGCCGCTGGTGAACATCAGAATAGCAGTTAAAAGGTTTTTCATCTCCTCAAGTAGGTTTATATATGGTGTAATATATTTTAAAACGGTATAATAATCTATATATCTGCGATGATTGTAAGTGTAGAGCAATGTCCGGGTTGGACGGTATATCTGTAGTAACCTAAAATTTGATCCATCCCCATATCCAAGAAACACTGGTCAGATTGCCGTGTTGCTCCTGTTGCATCCTGTTGCCAGTGCAAACCCAGGTATTCGTCACCACTTGGCAACGCATCCTGTTTGCAATGGCATCAGCACGCTGAACAGTGCAGTCTGACTTCTAGCACCTGGGGTTCCAAGCCATTTATAAATGGGATAACACTTAGGAAACTTACTAAACAGGGTTATTATTAACCACTTGCTGGCTTTCACAATGGCTAAGGCTTGATGATCATATAGATCCTTTCGAGGAGGCCTTTGACAGATTTAGTGATGAAACTGAAGATGTGGCCGCTTTGCAGCGTGAACTTCAGCGGATGGGTGGATGGGGCCTTGGGATTTGGTAAGAAATTTCAGGAAAGTTCAGTCTTCCACCAGTGGCCTGAGCTTGTTGGTATTGTGGCATTCGAATGTTGGGCTAGTTCCAACCAGCAGTATGACGGCATACGAAGCCTGGGTGGCCTCTAATTATTTGATTTATTTATCCAAGACATTGCCAGGGAATCGATGTTTCATCCAGATCACAATCTGGGGAGGTACTGCAACAGGCCCGCTACGACCTTAGGTGATTGGACTGGCTGTGTCGCATGTGATCACCCAAACGCCCCTTGGCATTTGCGCAGACCTGGGTAACCACTGGATCGGGTTGCGAAGCTGACTTTTCATGACTGCTGGAAGAAGCCCTGCGATTCTGTGCACTTTTTGGTAGACCAGCACTGCTCAGGTTGCGGTTTCACCTCACTGGAACGCTGCCCGCTCCAACGGGAGCCAACCGACCCGGCACGGAAGTGGAAGTTCGGGACATCGTTTCTTTGGCCAGTTCGGCCCTCAGCGCTGGTCGCGCTGATCGGATCCCAAGAAATCCCAAGAGTCGAAAAGGGCTCCGAAAAATGCGCAGCGTGCGCATGCTTGGCACAAGGATGCCAGGATGCGCCAGGATGCCCTCGGATTTTTCTTGGCTTTCTGGGGACAACCATCAGGCAGATGGATCTTCTGAACTTGGAACAAGGACATTCTCAAGGGGCTGGCAGTCTTGTTGCATTTAGGTTCTAGCTTGGTCTACATCGTCCTGTTTCTCGCTGTGGAGCAGTGCCTTCCTAAGAGCTGGAGCAGATTGAAGAAGCGTGTCTTTGCTGCAGCTAGTTGAGACAAACCAAGACCTTCTGGCCTTGGTTGAGTCCCTTGCTTTGGGGTTAGTTTGTTTATGTTTGTTTGCTTCATGGGCTTGAACTTGTTTGATTTGAGATACCCGTGAATAATGTGAGTTGCCTGTTTCGATTTTGTTTTTGCAGCAGTTAAGGTTTCAAGATGCGACTTGGCAGAACTCGTACAAAAGCAGAGCAGGATTCACTCGGACATTCTGCCAGCCACAGCAGTCTACCAGGATTCTGGCGAACTGCGTTGCATTTGCGCTGTTCTACAGCTTCACATGGTTTGCTTTGATAGTCTGCTGGCTGCAAGTGCTACAGAATGCAAGTGCGATATGTAAAGACATCCCAAACAAACATAAATGTCATCAACACACAGCATGTGAGCAGTCCATGTTAAAGCGCGCATCATTGAAATAGTTTCCCCATTCCTCTTGGGTGTTGACCATGGACCGATTGAGGTTCTAGGCTTGCAGGGGCCTTCTCAGGGTCTCCTCGTGGCACTAGGCGGGCTTGCAATCTGAGATTCAGGGAGGTGATCTGTTCAACCAGAGGCACTGCTTTCAGTATCTTTCAGTTCAGAAGTTCGATTCATATTCATCTTATTTCATCTTGGGTTTTTCACTTTGGGGACCCATGCCGATCCACAAAGCGGTCCACTTGATCTGGGATCAATTTACAGCTTGCCACCGCGGCAGGTGTGACGTGGGGTGGCTTCGTGTCTGGACCAAATGAGGTCACTATAGGTCACTTATTCTTTTACCATCCCCCCTAAGACAACGTTAAAACAAGATTCAAAAACATACCAGAGAAACCGGCGGCCTGTGCTTGAACACTTGAACAGCATGTGAAGAAAAGTGCCATGTTCCACAGCCGCGACGTGTTGAACTTGTACCGTCCTTTGTAGTGCTCTTTTTTTTGAAACATAGAATCCTGGTTGCGTTGTTCCTGTTATTATGTGATCCTCATTTAGGTTGCTTGTAGGATATGCTGGGAACCAACTATTTTTTTCTGTGTCTAAGACGTTCTTAACCCAGGCTGCTATGGTTCTGCTGGACAAATTGGCTGATCTCGAGTGCACTGGACCAGTCTTTGATCAGAACCTGCGCATGCTGGCTGGGACACCCAGAAGGGCCATGTTGTGCAAAAGCATGGACCAAGTGTTCCAAGTATTGCAGAGTTCTCCTTCTCCTTCTTTTCTTAGCCGAAGGCGACACGCAACTCTCAACAACGCATTTGTTTTGGTTTCCGTTCTTGGAATCTTGAGATAAACTGCAATTTTCTGTCCTTATTTGTCATTCCGTTTCATTGAACTGGGACAAGGAGGTATTTCAAGTGGAAGACTCAAGGGGCTTTGGCTCATTGTAGCCGGTACATTGCTTGGAGAAGTCCTCTTGAACGAACACCGAGTGTTGCTGCTCTTTTTTGCAGCGCACGAACATGTGTGCAAATAGACCGCGTATGGTCTCTCTGCCAACTCTTGCCAGATGCGTTCACCTGTTCGAAAACAGTTGATTTTTGTGGCAAAACTGACATGTCATTTCTAATTGGCTTCACATCACCGTGCAGGTCATGCCCATTGCCACCCTGATTGGCTTTGGCTGGAAGGGAGCATTTGCCGATGCAGGTGTCACAATTGTCCAGAAGGTGTGGGCATGGCTGAGAAATGTTTGATACTTGCTGGCCGCGCTTTCAAGTTTCCGCAGTTTGTGGAAAATGGACAAATATTATGGGCAAAAGATGGCAGCATATTCCTTTTTTAAAGGTTAAGTCCCATTAAAAAGTGCTAATTTTTGCTGGATGAACATGGTTGCATGGAAGGTGACTCTGTTTCCAGCCCCACTCGAGCAAGCGATACTTGCAATGATTCTGTTGTTGGTGATTCTGCCTGCGTGGCGGTGGTACATCCTTCCCAAAGCCTCTCGAATGCAGTTGATTCGACTTGAGTGCTTTGATGGACTGAATCAAATTGCAGGTGGTTGCAATCGGAAGTCTAGGACTGCTGTCTTCTTTTCGTATATCTTGGGGACTTCCCATGACCTTTGACTCGTTGGCAACTTTGATCTTGAGGTTATGTACGACTACTTGAAGCATGCAAAGAAGAAGACACTGCTGGATGCGGAGGGCCGAACGTTAGATCCTAGTCCGAGGAACAAGCCAAACTTTCATGCGCACAGGCTGTCATTCTTGAAAAGGATGGGGTTTGCTATGGTTTGCTTCAAATTTTGAATGGAACATCTTAAGTTAAGAGTTGGTTTCAGTGATTTCCGAGTTGACACCCATCAATACCACACCAATGCCCACCAGCGCCAAGGAAGTCATTTTGGACGAAGAGTTGGACAAATGCCTCGACAAGTGCTTTGCAAGAAGTTGGAAAACCATCCTTGCCACATCAGCTCAGAGGATATATACAGTACAGTAGTATACATATACGATCATATACGTATATCATATGTATACGTATATATATATAATAAATGAGCATGGATCAACACCTATATAACACCCGATTTTTTTAAACATCCATAAATCCCATCTATTCGGTGTTCACCAGGGTACTAGAGTTTTGACCCGTACCATCCCGGAGCCAAATTTAAAGCCACGACGATGTGTCTGAATCACGACCAGCCGTGCAGAATCTGCAGGCTGGAGTCCATTGTGGTTTCGTACCCCTCTGAGCGCCATACGCACCACAAGGCTAGGAGAATTCTGGGAAATTTGAGATGTTTGGGATTTTGATAATTCCAGAACCTACGCAACCTCAACTGCGATGCCAGGCGATTGTTCTGGAGCTGGAGAGGTTGCGCAAGATCTCCGAAAACATTGTTCAGGACCATCAAGACCGAAGTTGGGCAAACTGAACGATGAGTTCACTGATGAAATCGATTTTCAACAGGCATTGTTCCAATCTTTTACCACTGGCAGTTGGGAACTGACTGCCTTGAGGATGCTGGACTGAAATGTTGAGCTTCGAATGAGCTGCCAGCGCAAATTTTAGGAAGCGACTTGGTCCTCCAAAGAGTTTCGTTGGTCCAGCTTGGCGGAAGAAGACCACCAAAGCTTCCTTGGAACCATGGCCATGTCTGTGAAGTTTCAGCAGATATTGGTTTCAATTTGAGAAGGCTTGGAATTTGGGAAAGCCGTGGCTCCTGGCCTTTGGCTGGCGCCATGCCCCTCGGCTGAACCTTCTACATCTATGGTCTTTGACCATATGATTCTCCAATCGGTTTCAACTGACGCACCGAAAAGTCTCGCAGAACTTGGTGGGACCAAAGAGCCTCGGAGTGGTTCAGCAGTTTCGGGAGTCGGAACTTTGGAGCCACGACGTGTCTTGTTATGTCTTGAAGGACTTTGTCCCTAAAACATTTGCAACATCTGCACATTTGGATTCCATGCAGAACTGAATCATGACTGCAGGTGCTCTTCTGAAGCTGAAGGGGAAGCTGATGGAGATGCAAAATGATGAAACATGAGAAATCAGAGTCAGAGGCTCTAGAGGGTTTCAGTATTGTTTCAGCGGGGTTTCGGCAGGATGTATTTTTGTTTTTGGGATGTACAGATTTGGAACCAGCCTGGGATGTACAGACCCAAAGGCACGTGTAGTAATTCGATTTGGCGAGGTGCCTCTAGGCTTCGCATGTCTTCGCATCATGCATCCTGCGCAGTGTGTCCAAAATTGCTGCCAGATGTTTCTGCGGCCGCATGAAACATGTCCAATCAGTCTTGTGGTTTTTTTTGATACATCAAGGTGAGTTGAGTGAACATGGGACTGGAACACCATTCTTTGCCCTGTCGTGGCCATGAAAAGTCTCAAGTTCTACCTTTCTTGTCCTTCGCAAGCCAGTACCCCTTCCGCTTGCGTTCTCTACAAGCCGAACCCCCAACTGCAGCTTGATTGCATTGCGAGACTGTGACATTTTGACAGACATGCCTGGATAAAATGGATACAAACGAAGAATTCACCAGGATCTCAAAATATCGACAAATCTCTCACTGGCAATGAGAGCACTTTAAGTCTCCGGCAAAGGTACTGTGTAGCAGTCTGCCTCTATTGCAGAGGCCAGTGCCGGACCGCACCTTTGAATACTCTTGACGGGATACCGGCCCATGGGTACCCCAAATTTGATGCTTCATGATTTATCAATGTCTATCAAAACTATTTTTTTTCGATATTTTTTGTATTCCTTTTTTTTTACATGATGCATCCCCATTTGCACCGCCACATCAGGTTGCAAGATGATGGTTGACTCCAAGGCTGTCGGTTCCCAGGTTCCCAGGGCCCTGACTCGTGTAGCCCTTGATGCAGCTGCCAGGTGAGCTGGAACGATGGCGTTTTGGTGGTGCAGGGAGCCCCTGTCAAAAAAAGCCTCCGGGAATCAAACATGGCTGGGAAATCTCCCAATGGAGGTTTCAAAACAAGAAATACATCAATTAATGGTAACAATATGTAACAATTAATAGTATCATAAAGGGATATAAGGGGGTCGATTCTCGGATGTTCGATTCTCCGAGCTTTTGATGTTTTGTCCATATTTTTCCATGTTCAGGTCATTGCTGTACATGTGCATCGACATCCAATATGAGTGGGATGGCTTTGCGAGCTGCCGACGTCCCATCCACAAGTGGCTCCTGCTCAGCTACAGCCTGGTGGTAATGTCCCGACTGGTGCATGTGGCTGGAGCCCTGATGTTCCTTGGTGCGACAGTTGTTGGATCCTGTTGGTGTTTGAGGGGCAGCAAGAGCCCTGGGATCTTGGTTTATCTGGAGGAAGTTGGTAGGTGAGACGATCTGAGAGTGTCATCGGTGTAGCATGTTTTCTTTTATCAAAGAGGGGTAGTAGTTAGTTAATGTTAGTCGTACTTTGAAATCGGCATTTTTCCTTTCATCATTTTGAAGGCCACAAGCTGTGAAGATGATCTTTCAATGACAGAAGAATCGTGGTAGGTAGTCAGTAGCAGATGTTTTGACTGTGAACCTGCCAGGTACTTTGAACCATTTCCATCCATTTCCCAGGTGTTTCCCAGGTGTTTCCAGGTGTTTCCAGGTGTTTCGACCTTTTGAAGCAGACCTTTTGAATCGTGGGCCCAGGTCGCAAAACGACAGCGAGTTCATGTCCTGGAGCCCAGTGATCACATGGCTGTCATGGCCTGGATGATCCTGGATGGCAAAAATCGACCGCAGGTTGAATCTTCGACAGAAGAGCACCGTAGTGCGACTTCTCCTTTCAATGATGTGGCTGGTGGGGCACTGATGCTGCTTGAGATTGGCTGTTACATCTGTTACTGGGATTTTTTAGGAATGTAACCACCTGATACCTGCGATCTTCCGAGCTTTAGGAACCCAGTTCCTGAATATGTTCCAGTGGCTTAGCGGACGAAATACTCTCCAGGATGACTCTAGGATAACTGGGGCTCACCCTGATCCAGGTGATTCTGCCGGCTTTCACCGTTTGGTCCATGGTGGGATGCTCAGCACTAGCGTTGCTGGCGATGCTGGGAGCCTCTGGACTGAACCGAGGTGGGCACTGCTTGGGTCTGGGAGGTGATGAACCACACTCCTCAGTGCCTACCTGGTGGCGCGCATTTCTGGCCAGGGCCCAAGGGGAATCAAATTTCAGGGAAAACCACGGTTTCACCCAAGGTTTCAAGAGTTTGAAGTGGTTTGCAGGGGTGGTAGCCCTGAGCTTTGTGATGAGGTTCCTCATCGTGTGGCAGGCCTCCGCTAGTTACCGCTAGTTGGGATACCTTGCTAATTAGTAAGACTGACATTCCTGTGCTGAAATGGCAGGCTCTTAGCTACCTGTGGATTTTCGTCCACTGCGGCTTGGGCATTGTTGCATGGTGCCCTGCGCACAGAATGTCTGACATGGCTAGAAGCTGCGAACACCATGGTCATTGCTGTTCATTCAATTCCAAAGAACCCCCCAATTATTGTTTCCATGATCATTATGGACATTGATGGACAGTGTTGAGGATTCTGTCGTCGGATTCTGTTATTCTGATGTCCGGGGCTGGCATTTTAGTCAGGTACTTGGAAAGAAGACTGCGAAGGGCAGAGGGAGACCTGCGGCAGTTGGAAGTTGAACTCCCAAGCGTTTGGTTGTGTCTGTTTTGAATCGTGAAAGTGGTCTGCGGTGTCACTGCAGTGCACTGACACCAGTTCTGTCTCAAGCTGAGGACCAAGACTTGCTGTCAAGATGGGGGCAGGTCGCAAGCCAAGAGTCAAAGATAGTCAAAGGTTGAGAGTTTCCGAGGTTTTGCCATTTCGAAGTTGTTTTCCATCAACTGCGAACTTTTCCATTTTTTCCAGTTGTTTTCCATCATCATTTCCTTTGAATTTCAATTGCCTCCACCTTTTCCCTTGCACCCTTGGTCCGTGCTAGGTCAGCCGCCTGCAGAGCTACACCTCCGTCCCGGGACTACGAGAAGAAGATGGGGGGCTAAAGGCGTCTGAGGTGCGGGCCTTTTTTTGGGGGCCCAGTCACATTCACCAACGATCCCATTGTGGGTTTCTAGTCAGGAGATTGATGGGAATATTGATGGTATTAATAGCAATACCCATGAACAATTGATATTTTCTAGTGTTTTATACCCAACAATACATGATATGCTTGATGAATCTGGAGAAATTTCATTGCGACCTCACGTCGCGATGGCCCCAGAAATGATGTTTAGTAAGGGGAATCATCCCTTACTGTAAATGTGGCCATTTTTTTTGAATTCGTGGAATGCCACAATTTATCCAGAACCATCATGGGGATAACGTAGGGATATACTGTAGCGGGGATACAATGTGAATTATGATGAAATTAATTGCAATTATGTCCACAAATGGGGGATTGACCTTGCATCTTTAGCAGCATTAATTATCAATCATGAGAATTTCCAGGAAATTACAAAATGGATAGCAGCATGGGGTAGGCAAATCGTTGCTGGGTGAGAATATCACTGCATTGTTTCTTTGACATTTTTGGGAGTCAAGACTGAGTAGAAACTGGTTTGATAGTAGTGGTCAAGTTTGGTACGAAGCCAACCGATGTTGATGTTGGGGTTGGAAACCATTTTGTGGTTTGTTGTGGTGGGTGATGAGTGATGTTTGTTTCCCCGGTCGCATATCCTTTATTGACTTCCTGATGGTGATTGGTGGGGATGACCCCAAGCTATTGAATGTTTTTGGATAGGTTAGGCACCCATCATCGGGTCAGGTTTTGAGGGATGTTGCATCCATTTTACCTATCAAGTTTTACACATATTTCATGATTGGTGAGTGAGCAAGGTATATAAAAGATTCGTTCAAATTACTGTACCTGCGAAAATTTGGGTAGGCGATCGTAGGTGAAGCTCCCCAAAGGTCGACTAAAAACTGGCAGTTTTGGAGAGGTTCACATCATGAATCACAAGGATTCCCACTGGTCCCAGTGCCAGATTGCCGACTTGCCCGGCCTCCTCGTGGTGGATTGTCCTATGGAGGAGCACCAGAAATTGGCGACTGCCAATTTCTGGTCAGAATTCAGGGAGACTGGAGACTGTTGGAGAATTTTGGGTCGTTTTGCGTTTGCCATCCATTTTTTGGGGTACACGTTTTGAGGCATTTGACTTGACCCATGTTTTTTCTCCATTCTTGTCCGTTGCCAAGCATTTGATGGAAGGACTGCCCAATTTGCTTGACAGAACTCCAGCCTGGCGAGAATGCCAGAGACCCAAGTTGATTTAATGGAGGGTGGTCTCCCATTTGGTACCTCCATTTTTTTCACAAACACTATCTAAATGGTACCAAACGATACCAACCCCCTTCATTTTCCAAAACAACATGGAATTACAAAGCACACAAGCTACCCAAGATCCAGTGGTTTAAGACCTCGCTTACCAATTTCATAAACTGGTCAAACTTAAATTATAATTTCCCAACTCCTAGACAAACCCATATCGTATGGTTGGTTATCATCACATTGAATATCCCCACAACATGGTTTGTTTGAGGCCCATTGAGATTGCCCGAACTTAACGATATTTGGTGTATCCCCAATATATCCACTTTGGCTTATATCTCCTCAAAATTCCCTTCAACTTTAGATGGTCGGTCAAACCACCATTAAAGTTGCTACATCTTGGTAAATCCGCTTTTCTCACTAATAGATGGCCGTTGGCATCCAGTATTCAGGTTAAGTTCCCAACTTTTGCTGGTCAATGAAAGAATTATCCCATTACCGTCCAAAGATGCTCCAGCCGATTTCCGCTATGGATCTGGCCAAATATTAAATCCTCGTAACAGCTCCCCCATGAAAACGGAGGGTCAACCTGCACAAAAGCAATCACCACGACCTCAGTGACCGCACCATAGATGATGACAATATGAGCCTCGAGTCTGGAGGTTAGGGCCTTGAAATTCGACCCATACCCTTTCTGTAAATGTCACCATATTATGCACCAAGAGTGTTGGTTCTTTTGCTCCCTCAGGCTCGCAAACTGAGTGGCTGTGGCCACACATTCCACCGCTCCTGCATTGACCTTTGGCTGTTCCGGAGAGCAGACTGCCCACTCTGCAAGACAGAGGTCCGCACTGGGAACGGAGAACAGTCCTGCATAGTCCTGCAAGAAAGCAGATGGGAGAATCTGCAGGTCTTTGCAAAGGTTGCTTGAAAATGCCTTTGCTAAGGACTAAGCCGTAAGCAGCATCTCTACAATTCTCCCAACAACCCGTCCTTCCCCCCGGAAGTGTCAGCGCAGCACCAAGCGTTGCCAGGTGAAGTCATGCTATGGCTCGCCGAGGCTGCGGCGCCGTGCACTCCCAGCCGAGGCAACATGACTGGTGCAAAGCTGTTGTCCATTGGGTTTGTTTGAGAGGAAAACTATTGGAAATCAATGAACATCATTGGTTTTTGGGTCCCATAACAAGAACCCCTCCAATTTTGATTCATTTTGTTGAGCTTTTGTGGCACATGTGTGTCTATGAGTACCAACAGTTGCTGACTTACCGACCAACTTAGTCATGGTATGTGTCAGACAAATGCAGACAATATCTATGGAAAACAGGTGGAAGATGGTGGAAGTATGTGGCATCTTGGTTGCAGGAGCCTTCTTGGAACGTGTGAGGGTGATGCCATTCGTCTCAATTTCCATTGCCGGCGAAAGATCCACAGATGTGGAGATCTGCAACGCTGAGAGCGGTGCCCAAACGGGATTCCGACAATCAGCTGGACCATCAGAGCTGCAACAGAGCAGGGTGTTAGGGCTTGAGCGTGCAGAAAAAAGTCGGTTGAATCATTTGACTATGCTTGACATTGTTTGACTGCTGGCTTTGCACAACTAGAGAACTCCACTGGATATACTGGATCAACTGTCAGATGTTGCCAAAGAACAAACTGTCCACCATTTTATCCATGAACGTTGCCAAAAACTCTGCGATGCTCAGCTTGTTGGAGCTGTTTGGCTCCCAACTTTGGTGGATCCCAGGCCAGCTGCCATACTTAGCAGAACTTCTTGGGACCATGAGCGGCAATGATTCCTAGATTCATGAATGTGTATACATATACTGTATATGTATACAATTGTACATACATATACAAATGTATGATCATATTATGTGTATATCATATGTATGTATAAATATATGCAAAACACATATTATACTATATAATTTTAGAATATCCACATTAATATATATATATAAACATATGTATATTTATATATATATATATACATAGACAATCACCAACCAAGAACCGAGATGAGTACCTTCACAAGATAGGTTCATCCCTAAGCTGCTGATGGGGCTGACATCCGTGGCAACTCAGCCGCAGCTCAACTTGACCCAGCAGAGATGGTTCCTCTCAGAGCAGGCGAGCCCCTTGCCTTTCTGAAATAGGGGTACCCCTTAAATCATCTATTTTAAGAGGATTTTCCATTGTAATCCATTTTGGCGTACCCCTATTTCAGGAAACCCCCACTATGGACATGTGTTGATTGTTTCTTATCACGTGTCATGATGGTTCAGCCCGCCTGTGCCGGCTGAGAGGCTGCGAAGTTCATCTCCGGAGATCGCAAAGGCGCTCCCATTCCCCCGAAGATATGAAACGTTACGAAACTTACGAAACACCTCATTGATGAAACATTGTATAGTCTCAAAATGTCTCAAACATGTGGTTGCATCCCATCGAAACCATCATTTCTGACGGGTGTTTGTTATGAACTGGGATGGGTTGATCATCAAAAGACGACATATTTGGGTCAACCGGAGCTGGCGATGGCGAGGTCCGGTGGGTGCACAGGATCTACTCTTAGTTGGGCCTTCGACAGAGAAGCCAAGCCTCCCTTTGAGGACACTTTCCGAAAGATCTGAAAGATGTCATGGCTTTGTGCCTGTCATGATCCAAAGTTCGAAATCCCTTGAACTTGGGCTTTTCGACTTGGCATTTCTAGGTGCAGTTTTTTTGTTTTTTTGTTTTTTGGCGATTTGGAGGATCCCCTAGGACGCGCTCACAGGCAGTTCCCATGACCGATCACAGGAGTTTCCCTGTGGATGGACAGCCTGTTGGTTCAGCAGCAAAGCTGGTGGAGGCGTTAGTCGGGTACCGCCTTCTGCTTCTGGGTATCATGTACCAGGAACTGCCAGGAACATCTGGGTAACCGACAGACTTAGCGGAAGACTAAAGTAGTAGGGAGTGGACTTGGGATGTTCAAGTTTGTGTGAAAACCTTGACAACCGATAGGGGACCACCCACTTACCGACACCCTATTTTTACACATAGCATGGAAGTACAAACCTTCACAACCGATAGGGGACCACCCACTTTGGCCATGTCCATTGCGAGTAGTAAGTAATTTTGTCCGCCACTCATAATGATATTATTATATTGAATGATACATGATTTTCGATTTTTGTTTTTGATTAATACCGCATCATGTACCAACTTATCTATTGATCTTAGGTACCAGTACCATTAGGATATTAGTGGGATTTCCCTTACTGGATTGTGACAAGCCCTAATATATTGGGTAGTACAAACCAATGTCATCAATCAACAGAGGTTTTGAACACTGCCAAGTTTTGCAAGGCCCCAGCCCAAAGTTCACACAAGATGGACATAATTTTGTGGCCAAACTCGTGCCATGGGGTTCACATCCTAGTGCAGCTCTAGACCCAGTTTTGACATGTAATTTAAATCGGGCTCCCAATGACCAGCGTCACGGTCCAACAAGGTCAAAGTCCCCATTGCAGCTAGGTTTTCTCCCGGCGAGGCAGACATGCGAAGCCGTGTCCACCCACAGTAGAGAGAGTTTTGTACCAGCTGCATCACGGACAGACACTATTCCCAGCCAGTGGGATTCATCTAATCACAGTGTCAATCAGGTAGCCATGCACTGTTTGGGACCAGTGCCACAATTCGAATGCGAAAGTGGGCAAGCTTCAGACTCTGATCAGGTGACGTCCTCACCGTGTGGGACTGGTGAAGATGGGGTAGGAATTTCCTTTCTTCAATGTGAACCAACTCAATCTTGCGTTGTCAAGACATGTGCAAAGTTTGGCCCGTTCCTTGTGGAGGACACGCAGAGATGCACTGAGGGTGATTCACTGATGAGCCAGGACTATGCCCTCCATCTCATGCAACTTTCAGTTGATCTCTCACCAGGGCACGGAGATGCACTGAGCAGTGAAAGTGTCATCATGGAAGATTGGCTCATCGACCTCCAAAGGTTAGCAAGCAGACTTGAGACTCAATGTCCCACAGACTATCCAGAGGAGGTCATTTTCACAGTCTACACGTGGTATATTGATCATGCAGTCACGGATACATGTCAAGACCCAAAACTTGCCACCCTAGGGAGCCATCCCCAGGAATGGGAAGATGACATTCTGTTTCCGTGGAGACACAGATTGAGATCCCAGGATGCAGTGCACATAGATGTGGTTTTTCCATTATCTCAACAAGTGAGCATTCATGAGCATATTTCGCATGTCCTCATCACACAGCGTCCGTCAGACAAGGTGTCAGTTTTGTTGATGGTTGACTTCCAGACTGAAACAGTTCGGAACGTCCTTTGGCGTCAGGCATTTGCATTTCCCAAGCGCATGAATCTCCAGGCAATCCTTGCCCGGGCTCCTGACATAGAATATGCTACCGAACAAGTTCGATGGATCTTCCCAGAAATCATGCCCGGTGAGTCCGAGATTCAGCTCCGCCATGGAATGGGATTAAATGTCCAGGTTATACCAGCTGATGAAATCACACTTCAGGCTGATCACGATGTTCAGGCAGGAATCCAAGTCGCTCTGAGCACTCAAGCCAGGAACCCATTCATGAAACAGTGCCATGAAGACAAGATACTCAACGTTCCTCGAGGTGGAGACAAGCCTAGCACCCTAGTCACGAGCGCATTCACCATGCCTGCGGTTTTCCCGACTGAGAACCCTAAAGGAGGAATTACCCAACATGGGTTGAATGTACCTGGGCCAGACGCAGAAGGGCAAGTCTTTGAGTTCAACATTGGTGCACCTGTTTTCTTTCCGCAGGAAGTTCCCGAGGAAGTTTTCCCGGAAGCTATCCATCAAATTTTTGATCTGTGGGGAACCAATGCATTCTCTTGGGAAGGTGAGACAGCATCAGCAACCATTAGGTCGTGGTTTGTGGATCACAGAGTTCACTACCCAATCGGTTTGGAGTCACGTGATGTTGTTCTTTTCTCTGAAGTCAGAGACTGGGAAGCACTCATCCTCAGGAGGTGGGCTGATCAGGTTGATCTGATGCAACCAATCCAAATGCATGTTGTATACCCGCAGCCGCCTGACCATGACATTGATATTGTGGCCTATGTCATCATTGTCCAAACCCCTAACCCTGCCATGGTCTCATGCCTGGTCTCAGTTGATGATGATCAGATGAACGTGTTCAATGACAATAGGTTTATGCGGTTAGTGGTCACGGTTGATGCCCTTTTCCCTCCTCACCAAGTGGTTCATTTTTGCGGTTTTCCTGTGCAATGCCTCTTGCAGGGACAACCTCTTTCATGCCAAGTGTGGGTCAGACAACAGCTGTTGCTCCCTGGAGCGATGTGGCCAGGACAATCCGGAGAGAGCATTTTCCTTCAGATCACCAGACAAAACATGCAGGTCATTCAAGATGATGCCCATGCCATAGGTATGTATCAGGTGACAATGCAGAGTTTTCATGGAATTGGTGAGGCTGAGATCACATCGTTCATGGCCAGAGGACCACCCGCAAGAAGACCCGCGACCTCACAACCTTCGGTAGTTGACATGGATCAGGTGGTAGATCAGGCGGATGCAAACATGAACGAGTTCCCAGATGATCCAGGGTCTTCGGACACTGAATCCAGCACAGATATGGATTGGCAACTTACGATGCTATTTTCACCTTTGACGGAGCCTGTCGCCCGACAGCTCAACATTCCTAATCAGCAGTTGCGACATTACCAAATTGCCACAGCTTTCAGGTGGGAAAGAACACATGTTCATGCTGACTTTCCCATCACACATCGTCCAGTTGATTTGGTGGAGGATCAATTTCACGCACGGCTGGTGAGACATGCACAAGACCTACCAGAAGACAGCACGTTGGTGCTGGTGCTGATTGATACGGTCTTTCACCCCGCCCCTCCCAGCTGGGACGCGCAGACTGTTCGCAAAGCCATGTACTCAATTCCTCAGATGACCGCCCACCAGCTCATGCAGGCGTTGCACGTTCGGAGGTATTGTAGGTACAATCACCTGCCATGTTTGGTTTTCCACAATAACCACATTTGGCGTCAGGATACCTTTGAGTACAGAATGATCAAGGATGGAGATTATCTTCGAATTGAGTTGCCTCCCCCCAATGAACCTCATCAGAGACTTGACACTCGATGTGTAGCTGTCGCAATTCACCAAGGCCATGGAATGGACTTAGTAGAGACATTCGACACATTGCCAATTCAACAGCTCATCACAGTACCTAATCCTTACCAAGTAATGATAGAGCACGATCTTGATGATCAAGGAACGACCAATGGACCCTACCTCCTCCAACTGTCGGTTAGAGTGGGCTCCATCAAGCAGCCTCCAAATATCAAGTCTGCTCATCATCCAAAGTATTTCCCCCATGCCCCTCCCGACAGTGTTGCTGGTCATGGGTACACCTGGTACCGGACCCCCAGAATACGGGCCACTCTGGGACACCACAATGCCCGGTCACTCATAAGATGGATCAAGCACGTACTTCGACGTTTTCATTTGGGCAGGTCCATGAGGAAAAGA